GTGGGCCGCGACGGTTTTGGTCATCGGTGTTGGATTTTACTGGTCGGTGCTGTGTTTCAATGGAGCCCTCTGGGCCCGATTTCAGGACGTCTACAAGGTCGTGCAAAGAAGCTCTTAATGGATGTGTAAATCAGGCGGATGTGCGTTTGGTGTTTTTCCTCGTGCTGCAGGCTATCAATCGCGTAAGCTGCTGACTAAAAGATGCTACATTTTTCGAAGGATAATAAAAATGGACGCGATAAGTCACGCAAGCATATGGGTTCTGTTATATATGAACGGAGGACAAGTTTGCCACTTTAAGATAATTAAGCATTATTTATACGCAGTTGCATAGGGAGAAATCAGACAACAAATTCAATGTGCCGCAGTTTTGGACCCGTCGAAACACCCTTCAATAAGTGCACGCTGTTCCAGGGCGCTTTGGATGATTGCCCTTTCAGTGCATTGCCTCGCCAAACTGAAGCGTGCAGAGTTCTGCCGGGTGTCGCCTCGCTGCAATTTTGTGCCTGTAGTTGTTTGGCGTTGTTAAGCTGTTTTTGTTTGGAAATCCACTTGCGGCTTTCGGCTTTCGGCTTTCAACTCGCTTAGCGATGGGGCTCCCCGCGATAAGAAGGAACCCTGTCTATGGTATTCCTCCGGACCTTGATACTGATAGCGCTCTGGCCGTATGAACGGCGGATGGCAAGTCGAGCATGTGACAGGTCTAGTCGAGCACATTACATGGCACTTACTGGTGACCTGATCGTGGACTTTTATAGCCTGTAATACACTCTGACTGGGGGAAGCTCAATTTTTTGTTGGGAATAGCATGAAAGCCATCCCAAACAAGGGAGTGCACTTTGGATTACTGCCTCCGGCACATTTCAATCTCCAGGGGTGTGGTTTCCTGTTCAGCTCGGAGGTTCAGCTACTGACTTTGGATGGAGAGTGAGGGGGGGGGGGGGGAGAGGGACCCAGGGAGGAAGCCATTTTTAGTGTAATTTTGGGACACGCTTGGCCATTTCCCTGCCCAGCCCCCTCACCCTCACCTATTTTACAAAATTGCACGCCTGCGGATTGCTATACTGTGGAAGGATTCGTCGGAGGCGGAGAGACACTGAATGCCTCGGAGTGTTAGCCGAGGACAGCACGGACCAGCCACGGGTAGGTGAGCTTGGGAATGTGTATGGAAGCTCTTTCATTATAGAAGTTTCACAAGCTCGCTGGCCTGCCTGTATGTGAGGCGAACCAAATCGTTCAAGAGCTCCTTACTGTTCTGAGCCACTAACCCATTGGGGGGATGGGTTTGGTGAATGGACCCCTGATATCTGCGGACGAAACGTTGGTCTATAGCTCATGCAAGGCTTAATGAGATTAACTCAGTTTATTTTGGTGCCTGAGGTAAGACTCAAGATCATACGCATCATGTAAGGTCACACTTCTGTCTTGCTTGATTGGGTTCGCTCCAAGTACCGACCTTGAGCTTATCCCCACATGGAATATTCTGCCTCATATGTTATAAGGACTGCACACACAAGATTAGAAACAACCAAAGTTTTCTGGCTCGAGCCAACGTAGGTAATCAAAGTCATGTGGTTTTCCTTTGACCAAAAAGTGTTTTCGCCAACCAGTGTTGTTTCTTTTTTATTGACAGCACCCATGGGTGTCGTCAGAATGCATTTGAACAGTCTTAATGACACGCGCACTCCTGTGTGCAATGCATCAAAAGCCATTCCGTGATAGCCAACAGCGACCTGTGATATCTGATATTCGTGCTGCCGAAAGCCCACGAGATAAAGCCGCTCAGGTTCGCAGGCTTCGCGCAGCTTCCCTTCAGGATTGCCCAACCGTGACCAGACTGACTGGGAATGCGCCTCTGGAATGCAGAGAAATGATGGCCAATCGCCCCAGCATTCCTCCAAATCGACGGAAAGGCATGCAGGAAGCACCAAGACGCATTATTGTGTGCTTCAGGCTTGCTGAGATGGGGGGGGGGGGAACCTGAACCTCAAGTAGATGTGTGAATATGCTGTCTATTGGAGGCCGTGTGATGTAACCTGTGGGACCGTGGGTGTACATAAGTCTCACACCGGCAGGTTATTTTCAATCCGTGCTGGGAGCAGAGTGGATTTATTTGATCTGTATGTCCTTGCAGCATAGATTATTCTGTTGTGGTCGGCCCATTGCTTAGGTGGCAAGGCAAACTACTAAACATTGCTCAAAAGAAGAAACCGCTCTCTCCAACGGCGAATCCGTCTGCACTTGTTACGTAAGCGATTTGGCCGCCTCCATGTGACGGAGGCTTGGAGGTCCTTTCAGATCCCAGAGGTGCATTTTTCCTCTTCTGATGACATTCACTTTAATAATCCTCAGACTCAGTATCACGCTCGAGTCGACGTACACTTGTCCTCTTAGACGAAGTGTCACTCAAATTGTCAGGTGCTGAAACCAGACAGCCTTCTCGGAATTGAGCCGCGGTTACTCAACCTAAGCAAAACAACTCACTGCAAGGAACTCAACCACGGTTGCATGATCACGCCGTGCATTGTTACACAATTTTAGGAAGGAAATGTTGCCGCGTAACAGCCGCCACGCGTGTCGCCGACCGCCGTTCGGGATGTTGCGGTTCTGGCGCGGCGCTGAGCCGGCCGGTCCCGTCGTGGGGAAAATGCGACAGCTCTGCGCCTCGGGGCGGACGGCCGCGTGACCTGGGGTCCGGTCAAGGCCATCATCACGCCGGGAGGGATTGTCGAGCAGAGAGCGGGGCTTGGTGATTGTGTATTCGAGCTCTGGCATCGTTAATAGATTGAACTATGAACTGACAGTCTTTGGGGACGGGCGCACGAACAAGAGCTTCCAACAGAAGCAAACAAATGCCACTTTCCGGACGAAATACCTTCGTTCTTGTCATGCGTGCAGGAAGAGCCGTCGTGAATTTACAGCCCGTTGTCGCTCCTTTGTTCCCTTGTCCTGTGATGAGCTGCGGAGTGGCACACAGGTGCATGACTCATGAGCTCAGCGTGGCTTCCGCCTCACTTGTGTCTCATTAGAATTCAGAGCGCGCGCTCCTCGCACAGACACGGCTCTGTGCACGGCAGGCGAGTGTGCAAACGACGCGCGGAGGCGCACAAGCCGTGGAACGCTGCGAGATAGCGGACGGACCCACCCAGTCGGACCAGGGCCAGGGGATCGCGAGTCTAAGCCCGACCTCGTGGCAGAGATCAGTAATGACGGCGATCTTCGAAGCAAAGACCGCGTCGTCTTACTGCCGGTGTGAAGGCTGTTAAAACTTGGTGGTGAGCGAAAAGGACTCGGAAAGTAAAAAACAGGAGCTTGTTGTAACTGACGTGAAAACAACACAGATGTCGGACCAGCAGACGATCGTGACGAACGCCGAGGGTTCGAGAGCTCGTGCTGAGAAGGGCGGTCTGGGCCGGGGGAGGCGGCAGCACGAACTGACCGCCGTGTTGGGGCACGGCCCATTGCCTCCACCTGGCGATGATGTCATCCCAATGACGTCACAGGACACGAGCACGGCCAAAAGTGTTGATATTGCATACGTGAGTGGCGGGTAGAGGATGCTGTGGGCGGTAGCGGCCTTGAGACCCGGCCAGAGGAAAGTCTCCCTTCCTTGTTCGTCGTGCACGCCAGAGACAACGCCTTGCGCCAAGTCGGCCTCAGCTGTTTGGATACGCTCTCAGCGGTTGGCACTCGTGAAGGGTCCTGACACCTGTTGGATGCTTACGTAAACTAATTGCCTTTCGAATGGAAGCCCGGGAGCTGGGGATATCCTTCAGCTTTGACCGTAATGATTCATTTACGAACCTTAAGCTGTAGCCTCTATATTCGGTGTTGCTGTGACTGATGTTCTAGATGTTTGCACACGGCCGTAACATCAAGTGAGTCTGCTTACTTCATTACTGCGATATCACCTATCTTGAATGGTTGGATGCGCCGTGAATTAGTTGCCCTCGCAGCCATTTCCTTATCGATTGTTGTGAATAATTGAAACACGGCTGTAGCTGCTGAGGTGACAAGATAAGAAATTTGATCAAGGATGCTGTACAGAGAAATTTATGGCATGAATGTAAGGACATTAGCATTTACGCTTGCAACGAGCGTTTGCTAAGGGATGATGCACGCCTTTGATCAAGCGTGCAGTTAGACTTTCACAATCGGAGGATATCATATGACCACTGCTGCAAACATGGCGCACTCGCGGTAAAACCTCTGGGTCCAGGATATGAAATCAGTCCTGCATATCTGAACGACCGCACCACAAGTTTCCAGAGGCATGGTCCCATGTGCCTTCTTTGGTCTTCGCAGGGGCGATTAATGTCTTCAGGGGCTTAAAACTTGCGGGAGAGCTACTGCGAGCAAGCCGCCAACAGCAGCCATGTTGTCTTAATCCCTGTAGGAAGGGCGAGCAACACAAGACATAACTTGTTTCTTATCTCATACCTATCTCCCGTCGTCACCGCAGCCAAGCGCTATGTAGACAGCACCCACCGAGACCTCACCCTCGTCGCATTCCTCGCGGCGCGCGTCTGGCAGCACCAATTGGCAGCGTTTACTGAGGCGATCGGCGGCAGCCGGCGGCCCCGTTTTGGAGGCGCAAAGGGGCTCTAAAGCCACCGCCAGCTCAATCAGGCCCAACTGGCTGCACTTCGGCCGGGCTTCTGCCGCCGCCGCGCCGCCGCCCCGCAAAATCAACGCGGCGAGACTGCCGTCGAAGAGCCGCCATATTTGGTCTGATCGCTCGCCGAATCCCCGCCGGCCGTCGTTACCGATCACTTTGCACATCGACTCGGGGGTGCGGCGGTGCTGCGCAGATCTCGCGGCGAGCACGGCCGGAGGGCGGCCCGCACCGACACGCCGCCCGGCGCCGCCGCCCGCCCTGTCTGTCTGTCTGTCTGGTGTGTGCGTGCCCCGGGGTCAACGCCGCCGCCTGCCGCCGCCGCCACCGCCGCCCGGCCGTGGCGCGCGCTCACTCATGGCGCGCCGGTGCGGTGGTGCGGTCGGTCGGCGCCCGACGCCGCAGCTCCGGTGCTAGTGTGCTGTGCCGGCAGCCGGCCGCGCAAGTCTCCGCGTCCACCGCATGCCGCGGACTGCGAGCGAGCAGGCGAGAAGATTGAGGAGGTGCGTTTGGATTCTCGTTGCGAGATTGCGTCACGTGACGTGACGTGACGTGACTTGCTGGTGCGGACCCGGTCAGGTGGTGGCGGTAGAACGCGTGTCCCAGCTGACCTGTCGGAGAGGACCGTGTGAAGCGAGTGCCACGGAGAAGATCTCGTGACCAGTCCACATACCGGGAGGACAGCGTGGACTGCTTGTCGCGGCGGGGACGTGTGGGCTTGTAGCCCGCGTGGAGGGCCGCAGAAACCGACTGTCCGAGGGAGCCGGGACCGGATTAGAACGAGGGTCACCCGTGTGACCCCGCAGCGGGATTCCTCCTGCCTGGACGTCCGAAGGTCGGGCAAAGATGCCCTACGGCGGTGCGTTCTCGGCGGGCAAGCCGCCCCTGCCGGGCTTCCGGAACTACTCCAGGCTGGACCAGCGCCAGGAAGGTAGGCCCGCAGACGGACGCGCTGAGGGACGGCCAGTTGCCTCCTCTGCGCTGTCCGGATATGCCCGCCATTCACGGGCTGCGTGGCATTCAGTCGATCCATGCTCTTAGTTATATGCTTGCTCATATATGTCTGGTGTGGTTGTCCTATTATTTGGCTGCGTGAGAGCCTTTGCAATCACTATCCCCAGATGCGTTATACTTAACAGCATTTCACATGTTTTGTAGCGATATGAGGAGCGTGAAGCTGTAAATTACCACATGCGGGACTGTTTGTTGTTCTTGTCTTGTTTTCTGCTCGGTGCCATTACGATCTGTATTCAGCTTTCTCTTTTTCATTTAGTGGTAGCAATCGCCCCATTTTCAGTGTTCATGCCTGGCGGGTCGCTGATGACCTACGTAGCTACGTGAACCATCTACACGCCATGCATCCTTTTAGTGATTTACGACCAACGCGCTGGTGGTCCCGAGATGAATGGCCTCAATGTGCTTCGACGCCAGCTGTGCAGAAATGGGCAAATGGCCTGTAAGCATAATACCGTCCAATATGAATACGCATGCGCATTTTTAGGGGATGGCTATCATTTGTCCTGCTTTTGAACTTTTGACGGCCATGTTCGACTACAAAACGCTTGGCCAGACATAAAGAAACTCGAACATGTTGGGGAGGGCGCCTTCAAACGACGCGAGAAACTGACCTCTGGAAGAGAGAGCCCGGACATTCAGAGTCAGATCAGATAAGATCCTGAATATCCCATCCCTTCGTCCCCGGCATGGAGAGAAGAAAGGCGCCGCCGCCTGCGCCTCGTCACCAGGACCACCGCCGTCCCACGTCCGGGCCTCGCTCGGCGGCGACTCCACGGGGCGTCTGCCGCGTCCCACGGCTTCGTGTCAGCCATTCGTCGCGCTCGCCGCTATCGCCTCGGAGCCGCGTCGCCGTTTTGTCCTCCGGAACGGCTCCTCGCGCCCCGCCCGGCAGTAAAACCGCCGCTCCCCGGGAGGGGCGTGGAGCCCGCTGAACCGCCGAGCCCGTCTCCGAGCCCGCGGCCGGTGGCGGACCCGGTCAGGCCGGATGAATGGGGGAGTGGGAGGGGAAGGTCACGACCGGCGGTGACGTGGCCGATGACTGCGGTGCTTCCCGCGAGAGGGGTGGGCGGCGCGCCGGCTGGATACCGAACCGGCTGCCGGGGAGGGCGCGCGGTGTCCGGTGCACGATATGCAAGCCAGGTGGGCAACACCTGTCTGCACCGTAGGGCTTCTGTTGCCTCCCCAACCGACGGCCGCCCGGCTGGACGGAAGCCAGGTCGCGTGATGGACGAAACACCTTTTTATATCGATCGGAAGAGGGTGAAACACTATCACCGCATCCTCTCGCAAACGAACGCCTCTGTCGAATTGGAAGCGACGGCAAAAAACGATTCGCTATTGAGCCAGCAGCGGGATCCCATGCCCCCAGCGACCCGGTTTCATTCCTCCCTTTGTGCGGGTGCTGGGCTGGGCGGCTCCAGGTGCCGCCGTGAGCGCGCCGCCGTCTCTCGGGCGCCGGTTTTGCAGCCTTTGTTCGAGGCAGGCCGGCGCGGAGGGGGTGTCAGTCAGATGACAGTGCCACGGGGAGGGCTCCTAGGGTGTGGCGGCGCCGGGAGGGGTGCACGACCGCGTCGGCGGTACCGGGCATACTGTATGCGCGCGCGCGCGGCATGGAGGATGACTTGTGAGGCGGTTGTTAATGAATTACTAGAAGGCATGATCTGCCATCTCAAATGGATGGACTCTCACATCGGTCTGGTATATATGTCGATTTGCTTCGATTGACGATTAATTTGTGGCGTTCTGAACTGCGAATTAGAATTGAAGTGCGAAGCAGGCCTACTGTAATAAATTGATGAGGCGTTACTTATATGCATACTAAGCTGCAGACCAGGTCGTTCTTTTGACGGCTTCCTGACGTTTATAAAGGAAATAGATTTTGTGAAGCTGCACACAACCTGTTTTCAGCTGGGATCAAACGCTTAGCGACCGTTAAAAAGGCGCGTCTTTGATCCATGACGCTGCCGTTAAGATATGAAGTTGGTAAGCTATCACGGCCGTGGTCAGGAAAGGAAACAAAAGGCGCCGTGGATGCGCCTGCAGGGGTGGCAGCTGGCTGAAATGGTCAATTGTGCATTGGCTTGGTGTAAGCCGCTGGTAATGACTGCACGAACAATACTGACTTCATTAACTGAAACGCCGCTCGCCGGAGTAATGAGCCATCGTGTGTGATGACAATACAAACAGATGGTATTCTTATCTGTAGAAGGCTGATAGAATCACGGGTACAACACCCGAGTCACATGAATAGGGAGAGGACGTCAACAGAGCATACAAATATGATGGGGTCCACACAAATGAACCGTTAGCCCCATTCAGCACTTTTTATTGAGGCGTGATGGCTCACACCTTGAACCGTGATGAAAGCTGGGCCAGCCGGTAGGCACGTGAACTGGAGCGTTTCCCTCCCCGGCTCCCCTTTGGTCCCATGCGCCGCCTGCCTCATTGTCCGCCCCACCGATGAGTCAGAGTTGTTGCCTCACTACACAGCCGGCGTCGGTACGTGACGGAGGTGTTGATTGCGCCGGGCAGCACGTCCGCAGAAGCCTGCAGATCGCGGCACATGTCGTCTTCGGTCAGGCTCCTCCGCCGGCCGGACGCGCAAAGCCGCAGATCGCGGCGCGATGAGACGAACGCGGCGCGCCGCTGCCGTGCGCTCGAGTGCAGGTCTTTGTGGTCGGACGGAGACCATGGTCTTTATCATGGGACATCGGTGCGCCGCCGTGAAAACTGGACGCGACGTCGCTGTCCTGGATCAGCTCTGCATGCCGCACCCAGCGCGTGGAGAACGAACGTGACCAGTCACTTCAAGCGGCACGCCGAGCCCGAACTTTCCTTTCCATTACCGCCCGTACCTGCTGCGTCACGTGCGCGCATTAAAAGATAATGAGGACCCCAGCGCGGGGCGGCGTTCGTTCTCCTCTCACGCGCTGGGAGCCGCGGGCCCGCAACGTCTTCATAGGCCGCGCCGAACGATAACAAAGTCGGCGGGGTTCCGGCTGAGCCTGCCTGTCTGCGCCAGCCCCGGTCACGACCGGGACCGCTGACCTGATGAGGCCACCGGGACCGGTCGGCAGTGCAGGGACCACCGGAGAGCCGTGTGGTGGTGTCGGCTGCCTGACCCGGCGAAGTGACGGCTGTTGTCAGGTGACTGCGTTCAGCAGCGGTCTGCTCCGCACTCATAATTCATTCGAAATGTGTGATCAAGAGAAACTGCATGTCGGTGTGAGTGATCCTGAAATGCGAACTCCATTCCTTTGCAGATAAATTTCCGCCTGGCGCGACAGTACTTCTCTACATCCGTGGCATTTCGTTGGGGTGCCATACGCTTCCTTTTCACCTACTGCCTTTTGAACAGCCAGTCTATGGTGTACACCGTTACTAAGTTATGACCAGGGGTCTCAGATCATTTGCTGCTGATCTGATCCCGCCAGTGATGCTGTTTAAGACCCCGAATGCACGAAATGCAGACTTTAGAGGTCGAAGCAGATCAAGGTATAAACGCAGTGTAACGGGCCGGGGCCCGTAGCAAAATCCGTGCCTGAGCTTCCCAGTTCCGATGCGTGGGCTCTCTGCTTAGCCCGATGAGCGTGAGCATCCGTTAGATCACTGCGCCACGAGGCCGGCCTTTCCTGGCGGCTTTCTGCATGCCATCACCGTTCGTCGCAAATGCGTGATTCCGGGCACACGACCTTGGCGGTTACGCAAAGCCAGGACAGGATGCTGCCCTTCGTGAGCTTTGGCCTGGCGAGGACTGCTTTAAGCCAGTAAGAGGATGCTACAAGCTTTGTTAATAGCGTTTTTATTTCGCTTCAGGGTGGAATTGTGAAGACAGGTTACCAGCAGTGTCTTGTCAGCGCTGGCGTTAAGGTTAACAGCGGTGTCAACAGTACAAATGCACCTTTCACCGGTATGGACAGAAAATAACGGCTTGCAATGAGGCGGGCGATGACAGCATTCCGCCCTTCCACCCATTGCAGATTGCACAAACACAACAAGCCGCGGCGGAGCCAGGTTTTTCGCCGCTTATCCGCCCGCCATCGGATCGGTAAACATGCCGCCACTTGCCGCACGATAAACACGTACCTACTAACGAGACGCGCTGGTAAAGACAAGCAAAAAGACGGGCGAAGAGCAAGCTCCTAATGAGCAGCAGCCCGCCGCCCCGCGTGAGCACCGGAACGAGCAGATGTGACGTCACGGGGAAAATAGCACGTGGCACGTGTGGCCACGTGTCAGGAGGCCCATCACGTGTGGGAACGTGCCATGAGGTGACGAGGGTGACGACCGTGGCACGAGTGGAACTAATTTCGGGGGCGTTCAGTGAGACCCGGATTTCGTAGGATTGCGTAGTGAAGTGTGACCGGTTTTCTGCATCTGCATGTCTGCGTTGGACCATGGTTTTACCTTTTACCGTGTATTTTGTGGTGCTTCTCGCACTTTGGGTGGCGACACGGCCCAGTGCAGTCTTTGTAATACCATCCTAAGCGCCTCTGCCAAGTCACAACGCTCCTGCGACTCCCAGTTGGACCGTCCCACTGCGTCGACCAAGTTGACACACACATGCACGCACACTCACCCACTCGCCCGCATGCTGATGGGGGCGGCTGCTCAGGCCACGCTCTTGACGTCTCATCTCCATGCAGAGGGCGTGTCCCGCGGGCCCTCAGGAGGGCGGCGCGCGGCCGACATGGGCCCACTGCATAAGAAGTGGCGTCGGGTTCCCCTGGGCGGTCGCCCGTAGACGGCTCAGTGCACACCCGTGATGGGATGGCTGTAAAAACGGACGCCCCCTGGCGGCTGGCGGACGCCGCGCGAGCAGGGGCGGTCCAGCGGGCCCACTCGAATCAGGCCAGCGTGTCGGGTCGGTATTAAACGGCGGCTAATCTGCCCGAATTGGGCCAACTGGCAGCG